CTTTTTCTCTTTTTATATCCTTCTCTATTTTTTGTTTCCTTTTTATTTTTTATTATTCCTCTTTACTTCTATTTCTTTTTTTTATTTTCTTTTTTTTTCCTTTTTCCTTTTTTTTTTTTTTTTTTCTTTCCATTATACAAAATGGACATCGGAAAGATTCCAGAACACTCGTTGAAACGTAATTACGTTTGACCACGAGATTATTCTATTTCGGTTTAAAAATCGCGACGTTTTCGCATACGATAATATTCTTCGTACAATCTCCTTTCATATTCATCTATTCTCTCCCTTTTCTAGCATCATTAACTTAGGATAAATTTATTATTGGAGAATCATTAAATTCGTTGTCTATATGTATTCTGTTTTCTATGTCGAAATGGCGATCGAATTTCGCTTTCCTATTATATTATATAATACAATATAGTAGAAAATAATAGATAGAGATAGATAGATAGATAAATAGATAGATAGATAGAGAGAGAGAGAGAGAGAGAGAGAGAGAGAGAGTGAGAGAATGAAACTAATAATCACAATGAAATTCACAAATTCTATGATGGGTAATATCATAATAGATAAGGGAAAAATGATTAAATTAATTCTGATTACTCATTAAATATTTCAAGAGTGAAATTTCATGAATAAAATTACAATGTTTGATAATACAATTTAATCTGTTATATATTTTAATAGAATAACAATTGTTATATATTAATAAAAATATACAAAATTTTTCAATTGAAATTATTCAAATATCGTATGAGTATCATTCAATTGAAAAATATAATGTAATTATTTTAAATAAAAATAAAGCTTATAAAAATAAAAAAACAATATATATATATATATATATATATGTATATACATATAATATAATATATATAATAAACGATGACTATTTTTTGAATTGGAACAAATAAATAGAGAAAAATATAAAATAGAATTCGTATGTTACTTCGAATCGAATGAAAAAAAAAAAAAAAAAAAAGAAAAAAAAAAAAGAGATTAAAAAAAAAGAATAAAAAAAAAAAGAAAGAAAAAGAAAGAAAAAAAATAGAAAAGAATAAAAATATTTCATTTTCAGTATCGATGTTACAATGTGTTTATAGTCTTAGTAATTAAATTCTACTACATATATTTAATATACAACATATATCGTTCTTCGGAGCTTTATCGGAACATCTGTGCTACTCACCCGTGTTATCAATTTTTCGTTTCGTCGTCCTAACGAATTATTCTCGTGGAAATTCTCTCTTAAAGACATATAAGTTAATTTCTGCCACGAGATTCGATTCTTACTTCCATCGAGTGAGCGAACGAGCAAGATAGAGAGAGAGAGAGAGAGAGAGAGAGAGAGAGAGAGAGAGAGAGAGAGAGAGGAAGAGAGAGAGAGAGAGAGAGACGTAGAGTGCTTCTTATTATTCATTTTAACGAAGCAAAGTTATACTATCGATCGAGAATACGTTCGAAAGAAGTAGACCAGAGATTCTAAAAAAAGAAGAAAGCAAAGGAAGTATATATATATAAATCAAAATTTATGCAAATCACGTATTAATCAAATCGTGAATGAATGAATGACTGATTAATTATATCACTGATTCTAATTATTATATTCGAGAGCTGAAGATATTTATATCGATTTATTTTTTTTTTCTCTCCTT